CTTGCTGTCAAGAACATCGTGTCATCCAGGAGGAATTACGCCAGTCACACACTTATAGAAGGTTTCAACTTTGCGATATCCGTGGTCAGGCATACTGTCTGCAAAAAGCGCCCCCCTCCCCTGCCGCGGCAACAGGCAAAACAGCACCTCACCACTGCAGCAACACGCTCCCCACGGCAGCAACAGCCCAAAAAACATTCCCCCTGCCCTTACGCAGCAAGAGCCGACAAAAAAGCAGCCTCCCGCCTCAGCAACAGAGCAACAGCCAAAAAAGAAATGCTCCCCCTCATCACAGCAACAGCAAACAAAAAGCACCCCACCGCAGCAACAGCCCGCCCGCAGCAACAGCAAAAAAACAGCACAGCCAAAAAGATCCCNNCCCCCCCCCCCCCCCCGCCGCCACCGCAGAACACCCCCCCCCTCCCCGCAGCAACAGCAACAACGCAGCAACAGCAATAAACAACTCTTACCGTCAGCAATAGGTCACAGATACTTGGCAAAGTGACCAGGCTTGTCCTTCCGACCCGATTCGCAAGCTCTTGTCGGTGTGGGCATCTCGTGAATGTCCGCTCGAGTTAATATTACTTGTCATAGTTGAGTGGCTACTTGTTTATTTGTCGCTGTGCTGTCCCAGAGCAATCGGCATAGGGGCAGGCTGTGCCAGCCCAGTCAACTGTCGACCTGCACAAGTCCGGATGAAACCTGAACCCAAACATCCCAAACCAGCAGCACACGACCAGTAGCTGTCACTGCAAATCTTTCATGCTCACATGCCTGCGAGCGACAGGAAAAAGATAAAGAGAGACAGAGAGAGAGAGGGAGAGAGAGAGCGAGAGAGATGTCAGGCCTGAGACCAACAGGGCCATTGTCGCCGCTTGGCGTGCAACTTCACAGCGCGATGGCAACCGACCTGCGTTGTAGTAGAGAGTGGTAGTGCCTCTGTTGTACTTGGGGCGTGCTGCTGTTCGGTCGCCAGCCTTGTTAGACAGATCTTCTGTGTTCTTGTGCGACGCAGTATCATCACTGGATGTAGTTGAAGCAACAGCCTCAGGCCAGTTTGCTTTGCACACAGGCTCCGAGGCCTTGTGATAACACAGAGTTCTTGCTCAAAGGCGGACGCCTCAAGGTACTCGTTCCTTAGGGCTCTCTAGAACAAGGATCCTATTAAAGGTTCTTAAAACGGTTCCCAAGTTTTCGGAAACGCACATATTATCGAGAGCAGTCATGGACCTTGCAAGTTTGCATTTTACGAGCCAGGCGTATCTGAGTCGCCCAGCGGCCCAGACATAGTCAGGTCGCTGGGTGGACTGAAGCAGTACATGTTGTTGTTCGCAGTCGTAGTTGCGCCCTTGGTGCTCAGCCGTTTCTTCGACATGGGCTCAGAACTCAAGAACCCGAGGACATGCTCGAGGACTACGAGCTGCAAGGCTACGAGGAGGCGTAGCCCGGATGGCTTTGTCGTTTGTCCTGGTCGTTACGAAGTAACTAGTGCTCTGGCTACGGATCTGCTGAGGATGATGGTGAAGAAGAGGGTAGTTTGTGCTACCGATTTACCGTCCTTGGCCTCATGAGGCGGCCGTGTTTAGGTGTTAAAGTCATGACGGACGATGCCAGTACCAAGGCAAGCTGGGGATCCCTCCAAGGGATTCGTATGCCACTACAGCAAAGGGATTCGTATGCCACTAGCCACTAGCTACCAATGTACACGATAGCCTTGTCGAGCTTGCTACATCGCCGATTCGGTTCCAGCCACTTTGAACACACCGAGAGCAGAAACAAAAAGAAAGCCTACACCTAGGAGCCACTTAGCCTAAAGCACCGAATGCCTTGACACGGAAAGATCTTCAAGTAGCCGCTACTCCCATGGCCCACAACCTAAATCCCAACTCCCCATGCAGGCCAACACAGTTGAACAGATGAAGGACAGTGAGCTGCTGGAGGACTGATGTGTCGGTGTTTCTGCTTCTCCCCTCAGCCCCTTATCCATAAAGGAATTCCTCCCAAACCTAGACACTCTGCGCCCGCTCCAAGATGCCGCAAGTGATCAAACCCTGAACCCATGCCCCTCAACCTAGACAGCCAACTGTCTCCATTCTTCCGCCTTCCAAGACCTCGACTCGCGTGACGATGTGTGGTGGCATTTTCAAGGCGCAGATCACAATAAGCTCCCACACCCGTTCTGCCAAACGTATCGAAACCTGTAACTGTTCTTTTGAGCTTAGGGTTTAGGATTTAGGATTTGGGGTTTTGGGTTTAGGGTTGAGCTGTTCAGGCCCGAGTGACTTCAGTAGTTGGACAGCACTGGACATACTCCGCAGCAGATCTGGGCAGTGGCGGCATCTGTGTTCCACATTCTCAAAGCTGCAAAAGTGCAACATGGTAGCTACGGCTGATGGACGAAATTCTGCATTATCTTGGTAACGTTGTACACCTTATTACGTTCGTTGCAGGGTTCTGTCCATCAACAGAACGACAATGACAGCTCTGTTTGCCCTGATTCTTCTTGCTGATGTTGTTGCGATGCACCCATTTCGACACATGCTTGTGGGTAGGAGTACGAAGAGAAGTTGAAGCGGGATTGGTCGTGGATGGAGCTTGCCAATTTCATCCCCTTCAAGCTGCTCTTGGTGACAGCGTCGCTTGTCGCAGTTTCCATCGGAGCAGTGATGTCGTTGTTTTGTGCCCCTATATTACTGATGGGGGTCGGGGCTTGGGGGCCTTCCCGGTGCGCACGAGCCTCAAGAATTGGTAGCCCCCATCTCTTACTGTGAGATCCAGAAGCCCGGGATTTTGATCTGGGGACATGTTCAGGTGGGTAGCTACCGTTATAGGAGCCTTCATAGAAGGTCTTGTTACCGTATAGAAGCCTTAGAGAAGCCCCTATATACCCTAAACTCCTGACCTCTGAACAGCCTTGCAGGTGTTCGTGCTAGTGGAGCTTTGCTTCTTTGTGTGCTTGGCTGTTATCTGTTTTTTTTGTGATTTTGTTTTCTCGGTCTTCTCTCCTGAAATCCTAGAGCTCTTCAGGTTCACTGTCCTTTTCGTCGAGCTGTACCGGCCTCGGCTTCGTGTTCAGGTTAGGGTTCAGGGTTTTGGGTTTAGGGTTTCGGGTTTAGGACTTTGGCGACGCTTCCCGGATGCAAGAGTCTGGAAGTGCCGCTTCCCAGCTGATTGGCAGAGTCTGGGTTCAAAAAGAAGGGTTTAGGGTTCAGGTTAAGGAGAAACGGCATTGGAGTTTCGGAATCCAGGGTTTGAGGTTTCGGATTGTGTTGAGGCTTTAGGGAGCCAGCTGGCACCTCAAAGAGCATAGGGGTGGGTCAAGGGTTGGCAGACCAGGGACGCCTCCACATCAGCCCTGCCAGGCCTTTCGGCTTTTTTTCACACTGGTTGTATACAGCCAGACATCCATGTCTAACGGTTCGTAGGCACAAGAAGCTCGCCGGCATCGCGCGCTAAGATTGAATGCCTCCTAGTTGTCGGCATGTTCCGCTGAAGCAGGAGCCAGCATCACAAGCAGTAGGGATAATGCCTATGAAGATATTGGTAATTAGGTAGTTGCCCGAAGACATTTGCAACGACGGTCTTAGTAAGGCAACATGGTTTGAAAACGATGACAAGAGCCGTCACCACCAAAGTCGCTGTTAGTTCCATTGTTGCTACTGCGATTTTCGTCCTCATGAGCATCAGAAAGGCTCTCTTACTCGCATTGCTACTGCTAATTTCGAGAGTTGCAGCCTCAGCTGAGCCTTGCGCGAAATAGGTGTTCCGACTGGTAACAGTAGTCAATAAAGATGACTTGCCTCAACTAAACTAATCAAGCATTGTCCGCATGCATGAAAGTCCTCAACAATTCGCCACATTTTGCAACAAAGCTGTAAGTAATCACAGGACAGTATATCCCAAACCGTACTGAGTGCCGTGTTGAATCAGCATGAGGACTCTATAACCGCAGCGCCTACAAAGCCCTGTATTAGCAACGTTGCTGTAGCAAGTGCCACCTCGACAACTGTTCTTCTTACCTCGGCCTGCATACTACCCTTGCACACCCTGCAAATTTTCGCAGACCGTCTTCACGCAGAAGGCTTTCCAACTACAATGTCCTAAAGTCTACGATTGCATCGATTTTTCCTCTGGACATATGGAATTACAAGACTAAGTCGAGGTCCAGAAGATGACAGCGGCTGCGCTTGCTGCTGTTGTTGTTGTTGCATCCATCACCATGTAAACGCGAATACCGACATGCCGATTCCATCGGTATTTACGGTGTTTGCCTTACTTCATCTGCCGAATATATCGGTGGCGTCGGCATTCCCGGCGCCTTGCGAATTCACGAATTTTTGCAGGTGCCGAAACCCTCGGTACTTACGGCATTTCCTTTGCTTGCAGTACCGAAACCATCGGTATCTGCGGTGTTCCCTCTCCACCCAATGCCCGAAACCTAATGACGTCCATAGTCTGATCCGTTTTGACAACAGAGCATCCATGCCCAAAACCTAATGACGACCATGGTCTAGTGCGCTTGACAACAGAGCATACATGCCCAAGACCTAATGACGTCCATGGTCTCATCCGCGAGCATCCATGCCCTAGACCTAATAACGTCCATGGTCTAATCCGTTCTGAGAGCAGAGCATCCATGGGTCTACTCCGCCCATGACCGTCATGCTCGGTTGCATGTTTGTGTTGTGGGAATTTTTTGTCCCATGCAGGCCACACGAAACAACACCACACAAAGCATAAGCGCACGTTTCCAAAAATTGCATCCAGCGGTTTCCAACACAACAACACAAATTTTGTCTGGCGGCAAGGGTTCCCGCGGAAAACCGAAGCAAATGCTGCGCAAAGCAAATTCGCCAACTGCGTACACAAAGTGGGTTTTGTCCCACACAGGCCGCGTAAAACGCATATGGGTGTTTCCCTCGTCTCCACGAAAATCAACATGCCTAAAGCCTCGGTAAACACGAGTCAAAACGCATGTTGCCGGAACCTGACATGTCAATCGTCTCACGCAGGCCACGTACAACGTACGTTGGCATCACTCGTCGCGCCCGTTTACACTTGTTGTTGTTGTTGCTCACATTCGTTCATCTTGCTTGAAACTCGTTCTCCATTTGCCTTTGATGGGAACCTTGATCTTGTTCCGTGTCGGTGCAACTTTTAGCACCTTCAGAGGGAACGATGATTATGTCACTGTCAGCCGCTTCCAACGGGTAGGCGTGCAACATTTTGGAAGCTAGAAGATTAACATGAGCACTAGGGGCGTCTATCTGGGATGCCCTGGCCAGGTACTACTGGAGGAACTGTGTCCGTGGTCCAGATGGTGGTATGGTTTCCAAGAACATGCACTATCCACAAAGCACCCGTTTCAGTTGCTCAGCTCAATATAGTCTCGTTGCATGTGCAGGCTTCACTATTACCGAGCATTCAAGCACCCGACCTTGCTGGTAGAAGTCACGTGGAAGTAGCTGTAGCTGTATGTATCCCCATGATGAGGGTGATTTCTAGCTGCCAGGACGTGTGAGATTGACTTGTTCTGGTTGGTACACAGGGTCTTTTGGTAGTCTGGGCTTCTGCGACACACACAGGCAATATGGTTATCGTTGCCTGTGTTTTGCTACCGAGCCTTCAATCACCACTGGCACCCTCTCGACTTGCTCGCAGGATCTTCATCTCGCCAGGCGAGAATCTGTGCAAGAGAGAGAGAGAGAGAGAGAGAGAGAGAGAGAGAGAGAGATGGAAGAAGAGAGAGATGAGCACAACGAGATTTCAGGAAGCGACACGCACTGACGTGATATCTGTTCCTTGTTGCTATTTTCACATCTGAATGTTTTCACTTGGTCGCAGAGAGCACAGAGGAACAGAGACAGAGAGAAGGCATCATCGAGATAACAAGTGTATGTACAGTGTGTGTATGAACAGAAAAAAGCCTGATCAAAACTTGTACGCATTAAGCCTCTCCACAGGGCATCATTCCTACACCGAGCTCTGCAAATCCTTGACTGCTGGACTCTTCTGTAACATTCTGTAACCCACCAACCGTCCCAACCTCCAATATCACATGATCTCTCATGGGGTTGTTGTTCTAGTCTTTTGAAAGGCCCGTAGAAGCCCAAAGAAATCTAGTCAACCCGACTCTTGGCCGAGGCTTTCTTACCGCCGGGGCCCCGGGGTCTACTGGTCGGGCGTTTTGAAGCAGTTCTCGTAGAGTAAACTGCACCGTCTGATGTCTGATTTGTCTGGCGCTTTTTGAGCTGGAGAAGCCCAGGCTCTCCCGAAAAAAGATGGCAAGTTTTAGGGTTTTTTAGGGTTTTAGGTTGAAGGTTTAGAGTTTAGGGTTGCGCAAGGATCACTCAACTCAAGAATCGTGGGCCACCGTGTCCGAGTTTGCAGTAGCTCGAGAATGCCTTCTTCAGGGCTTTCATCATACTAGGGTTCCGCCCGCAGCAGAGAGTCCTACATAACATTAACGGAGTGCTGAAGTTTCAATTCAGCTTGACTTAGCCATAGACATACTTAATCGAAAGCTGGAACTTAGGCAGAAACCCAAGCCCAGAACTGAAGCTTGAAAGTTGTATAGGGAGCTTACAGCATTGTTATCACCTTCCTTGAATCCGAAAGCGGCTGCGGACGGTCAAAAATAAAACCAAGACACAACAGGCACCCAGCGCAGCCCTGTTTTTGTTTTCATGGGTTTGTTCTACAGCAGTAGGAACAGTCCTCACCCTTTTTGGTATTATGGGAGGGGTTCTGAGCACGGACCTAACCTTTCAGGGTCTGTATTAGGATCCCCCATTTTCTGTGCCTGCGCGGATCCCTCCCGCTTTTTGTCGACCGTTTGTTGAGAGTTTTGGGCTTCTGGGGGAGCGGGGCAGCCGTTCAGTGGTGTCATTGTCCGGGGTTGAGCAAGCCTTCAGGACTTCAGGGTTTTGTGCTGCGAAATTATTCACGGCTTGACCCCTTCAAAGGGTACGACGTTCAGGGAGTGCACGTTTCAGAAACCTTTTATAATCAACCCTCCCAGTAAGAATGTATGCAGAGGTCGTGAATAGATGGTAGAAACATACCCTCATCATAGGCCCTAAGTGGCCATACTATGCCTCCCCAAAGAGCCCTGCTCGAATTGGTAAAAACGGCCGTTGTAAAAGCGAGGAGCTGATGGATCCCACTAGCGGATGTTCCGACAGCCTTCAGGCCTCCTAACATCCAAAAGCGCCCCCCGTGACTTCCGACGAGGCATTCTTCAATGGCTTTTTCCCGACGCTCGGACTCGAACCCTTCTGGTGATTTTTTACGGAGAGCTCCCGGCTTCCTGTTGATGAAACTGGGTTTGCTTTGGGGGCCTTAGTTAAGCCGACCAGACTGCTAGTAATTAGAAGGCTTCTAGGATTTCGTCGGCTAGTTAGAGGTTTTAAAGTTAGAGGTTCAGGGCTTCGTTATCATGATTCCTGCAGTCGTAGTCGTCATGACCATGCTGGACAGCCTCCCTGGCGAGCCCTAGAAGCCCACACCCCAGACTGTACCCGAAGTCCTAAGCCAAAGCCATACCCCGAACCAGATGCCGACAGCATGAGCCATTCCTTCTCAGACGTCGCATAGATCCAACAGCCAATGTTGTTGTTTTGGCAAATGTTCCCAGGCCCTAATGTTGGCTAAGCTACTCCCAGTCCCCTTGTGCAGTACTGGTGGAAGAAGTTCTCCCAGCTGGTTTGTGTCGATCAAAGCTCAACTTAACGTTGATGCAAAAAGTGGAAGCAAGTCCATACCCCAAACCGTACCTGAGGCCAGGCGCTACTACTACTACTACTACTACCACTACTACTACTACTACTACTACTACGACGACGACGACTACTACTACTACTACTAATATACTAATTTTAGTAATAATAATAGTAATAATAATTTAATCACGAAATAAGCGATCTCCCCGCAGGCTTAAGATCGAAGATGAGCCTTTCTGGGTCATGCCGGACCAGCCCCCCGAGTGAGGGAGCGACCATCCTATCCGACCGTTTCGGGGGGAGACCCGATCCAGATCCTCTTGGGGTTTTAAGGGCTTGCTCTGGCTAGGGTTTAGGGTTCAGGGTTAAGGGTTTAGGGCGGCTAGTCCTCAAGTCCTGTAGCAAAAAAGGGCAGAGAGTGCTGTTGCTAAAGTTGTCCATGTGAGTTTGTAGCCACGGGTGCTACTTAACTCGCCCTTCCTTCCCCGGAAAGACTGCAAGAGGCCTGGATGCAAAAGGGCTGCAGGAGCTTTACCACTATAGATGATAAAGATATCATGCCAATTCAGCAGCATAGCTGTGGCAGTATTAGTGATGTAGAGCGAAGCAGCAACCCATCAACTAGAGCAGGGCATTAGCCAGTGCGTTACTCCCGAAAGCACTCGAAAGCACCGCGTCCACAGGACCTGCTGTATAGTGAAGCCCTGGTTGCTTCAGGTGGGTGGCAGGGAGGTCCTCATCATCAAGTGCGCTCAAATTCCAGAGAACCCTAATCCGAACCACATCCTCCATAGTTCAACGGTGGGGCATGAGTGTCAAAAAAATCCGAACCAAGCCTGAACCACCGTCGCTTGACGGTTTCCACAACGTTCAGAGTGCAAAGTACCGCGAACAAGTTTTCATGCCTGCACACTATACATCGCAACACGCAGCGTGAACACAGTGACAGGAACCGGTGTTGCTCTTCGGAGTTTCTACGTTGCCATGGACATCGTGGTCGGATCTTCAGACACTGAGTGTGTAGGTAGAGGTAACTACTACAACTACTAGCACTTCATGGTGTCATGCATCAGGTAGTCTCAGCTTATCGTCCTCGTCCGTGGAACGCAAACGCTCTGTCTCATGAGCGCCTTCCAGTAGCAGGGAAGGCATGCAGGCAAACGGATCGACGAATCGAGGAAGATTCCTCCCGAAACAATTCGGATATCCCAAGAAAATGCCAAGCTCAACATGCTATCCAGTGCCCGGACTAAAGGGTTTGAGGCATGGTCTCTTTTGTCCTAGGTAGATCTTCGAAGCATTTTATGGGGATCGGAATTCAGCATGAGCATCATTGCACATGGGCACTGCGAAAGCATTTGCAATGGCCAGGAATCTCCTGCACGTGTTCTTTTCGAGTCGGTGGGATCCTTCCCCGAGCTCTGCACACCCTGAACCTGAAACTCTACACCCTTACAAGCCCCCACGGAGTTATCCACAGAACCGATAGACAGCAAGAAAAAACGACGAATCCCTGCGCCTCCGGGCTGTAGGAGAAATGTCGGAAATCCACTCCGAAAGTTGACTCTCGAGAGCCAGAAATTCCCTAAGCTCGAGCCTGCATAGTGAATCGTCGAGATTGAAGGTTGTATAACTATCAGGATTACATGTCGGTGGTATGGTCCCTTTTAGGGTCCTTTTTTGATAAGGGTGAAGTGCTATCTTGGGGACTTAAAGAGGGATCCTAATCTAGAGAACTGCCCATCTAGGGTTTAGGGTTTAGATTAGGGTTTATGGTTCAGGGTTCAGGGGGGTTTAAGGCGTAAGGTTTAGGGTTTGAGGTGTAAGGTTTAGGGTTTAAGGTTTAGGGTTGAAGGTTTCAGGTTTAGGGTATAGGGTTCAAGGTTTCCTGGCTCATGGTCGATGGCTTTAGTGGATGTCTCGTTCCCAGTGGCTTTGATTTGGGGCTCAGGTTCTGACTTTGGGGTCCTCTTACCAAGGACCCTCCTAAACCCTAAACCCTAAGCCCTAAATGTCCAAAAAAACCTTAAGCCGTAAACCCTAAGCCCTAAGCCCTAAACTGTAATAAGTGGGAGGGAAAAAAAGCCCTAAACTGTGTGTTTAGGATCCTGGGTCCGATCTGGAGTTTCTGCTAAGTCGGCGATCCTTTTATAAGAGCGCCGAAACCCGTATCTTACGCCCCCAAGCCCAGGAGCCCGAAACCCTGGCAGCCGGGTTTGGGGTTTAAGGGTTTAGGGTTTAAGGGCTTAGGGTTTAAGGGCTTAGGGTTTCTGGGGTTTAGGGTTTAGGGCCGAGCACCTGTGAGAGAGAGATAGGGTTTAGGGGCTTAGGGTTTAGGGCTTAGGGTTTTCAGGGCACCTGGTCTTAGAGTGGAGTATCCCTATACGCCCCTAAATACTAGGATCCTTACCCGATTCATCCTAAAGTTCGGGATCCTCAGAGCTTACTGATCTCTATAAACCCCAGAGAGTAAGTCTTCAAGATACTTATGACCCGCAAGCCCTAAATAGTACAAAACCCCCACTACCACTACCCCTGGAGCCGTGAATAGCAGGATTGTTCCCCTCTACACCCTCTAAGTATTCGGATCCCAGCAGTACTCGAACCCTACTGGGATCCTAAACCCTAAACCTGAAACCCTCAACCCCAACCCTACTAGGATCCTAAGCACCAGGACCCTTAAAGGAACCCTAACAAGGGTTTTGAAGGAGCCTTGTAGACCCCGTGAAGGAACCCCATATACCCTCTGAAGGAACCCTCTCGCTTTATATGTCTAAATATACCAAAAACCCTAATCCCTAAACCCTTATATATATATAATATGTGTGTGTGTCTAGATATACATATACACACACATATATATATACACAAACATATATATATATATGTATATGTATATGTATATATATATATATACATGTATACGTCTTTCTTTCTTTTCTTGTAGGACCCTTGAGGATCCTGCTCTTTCGGCTTCGCTTCCCGAGCCCTTCTCCCAAAGGAAAGCCCCCCCCGGCCGGACTCAGAGGCGGCCCACCGGCTCAGAGGTGTCCTTGGAAGCAGGGGAGGCTCCCTTTTGGGGCTTTAGGGCTTTTAGGGGCTTTAGGGTTTTGGGTGTTTCGGGGTTTTGGGTTTTGGGGCTTTGGGGCTTTGGGGCTTTAGGGGGTTTAGTAGGGTTCACGGTGTTGGGGTTTAGGGTTTAGGGTTCCTTCGGCTTTGGGGCGGGTGGTAGGGCTGTTAGGCTTTCGGGTCCCTTAGAGAAGGAGCCGCGGCCTGCGCACCATGCCAGAAAAAAGCCGCAAAGTTGTTGCTTTTGGTGTTTATCGAACCCCAGTCCTCCACCGGCAGACCCCATTGTCAGGCTGAGGGGTTTAGGGTTTAGGGGTTTTGGGAGGGATACAGCCCTGAGTAGAGCCTCACCTCCAGATTCACTTCACTATATGCAGCTGTCCATGACGGACTAGACTTTAGCCTTGTGTTTGACTCGATGTCGTAGTTGATCAGGCATCGTATGTGTATGGAGGGAAACCTTCGATATTGAATAGCTTAGACAATATAAGATACGACTACCACAAACACACGCCGTCAGGGCATGCCATACCGTAACTTAGAGGCTGAGTAGGTAACCGTTAACTTTTTGAGGCTTATATAATCCTACTCTAATTCGAAAGGTTAGCGCTTTTTTGGGCTAGGGTACTCAGCCCCTAAGGTAAAGAAAGAGGGTTTTGGGTTTAGGGTTTGGGGTTTCTCTTGACTTTACTATTACTTAGGGTTTCGAGGTGGTCTCCCTCATGGTGAGGGCTGGGTTCTCGGATTTGTGTCTTTTATTCACGATTTGGGGTTTAGGGTTTGGGGTTTAGGGTGGTTGAGAGGGCTTATATGCGGTCGTGAAGGGTTTTTGTACAGGGTTCCATGGAAGGTTTGTATCGGGTCTTGCTATATAGGACTTTCCGAAAATTAGGGGCACCCTATTTTGGGGTCCTTATAATAAGGATCCTACTATTTAGGGTGCTATATTAGGGTCCCCTATTTTCGGAAACCCCCATATAGATTGTTTAGGGCATGTCTTGGGCTCCCCTGTTTTCTGAGACTGCTCATGTTTTCACCTGCTGATGTCGCTTCTGCCCGGCAGGGCCTGCTACAGCCGAGAGGACGAAGACTGCCCCCAAGTTCAACTTTCTAAAGTCTTAAGCTCTAAACTTCCCTAAACCCAAAGTTCATCTTTCAACCCTGAAGCCCTACCCATAGGCCCCTAAGTAGTTCCTCTTTGGGGACTACCTTGTAGGATCCTAAATTCGAACCACTAAATTTTGAACTAGTACGGAGCCTATTAGTAAACCTCAAAAAGTTGGAAACCGGATTGAGGACAAATAGTGCTGGGGTTCCTTATACAGTACTCTTAAGGATTGAGGCTATTGGGTTTCCAACTTTTGGCCTTCTGCTGTATGGTAAACACGACGACCATCATGAACCATTCCTGGCGGGCCCGGCCGGTCCTTTGCGTGGATCTTTTCTTGTATTGTGATAAGCGAGCGTGTGGTGGCATCGGAGCAGCTTAGGGTTTAGGGTTTAGGGTTTAGGGCCTAGAACTACAAGACGTCAGGGCTTTCGGTTGGAGATGGCTCCTTACCTATACGTGGTTTGTGTGTCATCTGACGCTCCCAGCTCTGATCCCGCCCTTGTCTGTCACAGAAGCGTGTGCTTCAAGACCTAATACCGCCTCGGTCGGTTGAGTCGCACTCGAAGGTATCTTATATATATATATACATGTATGTATGTATATATATATGTACTTATTTATTTACCTCTGGATACAAACACTATGTCAGCCAGGTGCTGCTGCTGTCCTGTTTTGCTGATCGTCGTTCTATGCCCCTATTGCCATCGCTTGCTACTGCTGCTTCGACATCAGCACCGGCGACTACTACGACGACTGCTGCTTACTTGGCCTTGTATTTAACTTGCTTCCGTCGTAACCACCAAGCAGGTCTATGCTACCACTTGTCGCCTTGGCGCCCCAACATCCAGCATCACTCCCGTCGCCTGTTGCCCCTGCTACTCTGATTCATGTCATCACATCTGCAACACCCACCGTTTCGATTAGCGGACCGAGAGATCTTTGAGGAGTCTAGCTAGGGCCTGACGAAAGAGTCGGCCGAGTTGTCGTAGAACCGTAGGACCCCACGGAAGGCAGACAAAAGAGCAGACTTGCACATCTTGCAGGGTTTTAATGGTTTCGCCTCCTAGGAATTCGAGAGAGGTGGCTGCTTGGAGGAAACTTGGGAGGCACATGCAGTGGTGTGAATATCAGCCACATGTTTACATCGGTTTAACTGCTCGAGAACATCGAGGTGTCACTTCACGGCGTGGTTTGGGGCTGGCTGGGGCCCTGACAGATTGTTTCAAGTGGGGCCCACAGCTATCTTGTTACATCCTGCAGCATGGGACAGTTCTAGCAGATGGAAGTCACAAGCTGCCCGATATCCTGAAGCAGTCGGCGAGTCCCACTTGCATCAACACTCAGCATCACTCAGCAGCATCACATAGCATCAACTTGCGTTTGTTGAATTCCTCTTGGTACTGGCAACGACAGGCAAGCCGTGGCTATACTAGGGGCATTGACACACAAAAAAATTTCCTATCTACAGACTCCTGAGATGGCGTCGCATCGCCGTGGCTTGGGATGTTTGGGCCCTTTGGCCGGCTGGCTTGGCTTGGCCGCTCTAGCCTGGGCCACGCGAAGTCTTACCTTCACTCTCTCTGGGACCTTTCGGCCGGTCCAGTGCCCAAGACACGGAGACGTGGCGCGCCACGCAGAGGATCCCTTCGCACAGCGCGGCGGCATCTCTGCAGCGGACCTCAGAGACCGAAGGCCGGAGGAGGAGAGCTTCGTGCAGTATCGGGAGCCCAGGAGGTCCGGCCAAAGGCCCGGCTTCAAAGAAAGCAGCGCGCTCAGCCGGGGAGGTCCCAGGAGGACCTTTAAGGCAAGAGCGGAAGAGGAGGAGGAACCTGCTAATCTGACAAAGGAGGAGAGGGAACAAAGATTCAGAGAGCAGATTAAGAGCCCAGTGACTCTGACGACTTTCATCAAGCGGACTGGAAGTCCGGAGGAGTTCATGTGGGTGATGTGGACGGCCATGGACGAGACGATGCTTCTCCATTTAATGTGCATCACAAGCCTTCTCTCTTCGATGCATAAATGTAGGAGACCGTTTTTGTAGGTCAATGAATAGTATCTTGAGACGGACGAATCGGTTTAGCTCGCTTCCGATGTCACACTGTGCTTCCACACTCTCCCATCCCAAGACGTGAGCAGCCAAGGCTGAATCACATTCACCTGGTTGCTGCCTTTACCAAGTTGGCGGCCTTGAAAAAGAAGGCGGCGCCCTTCAGCGACCGGATCCGAAAGAGCCCCACGCTCGCGGCCTGGGATTTGCTTGAGAATTTTTGTTGGTTGACTATTTGATTTAGAGGGTTCGTGGTAGAACACGAAGGACACATGTTGTACTCGCTGCAAACTCAGTTCCAACCTCCCGGTGAATGGAATGGGGTCCTTCAAGATGGATCCCTCATTACATTGGTAGCTGTAACGTCGTCGAAAGAATTTCTACCGCAGAGTCTAGTTTGCAACAGCATCTAAGAAGTAAGTATTTCTAAACACTTTGGCTTCGCAGCTCAGGGTCGCCTTCGGATCAGAGACTCGTTGCGGGCCAGGCACCCCCCCAAACAAAGGAGCCCGAGCCCCCCTAGCTCTTAAGAAGCTTCCCACGTCTATCGTCTCTAGAAAATAGCCTTAAATCATAATATTAAGGCTCCCCAAAATTGAAGGTCTATAGAAAATAGCCTTAAATCATAAGATTAAGGCCCCCCAAAATTGAAGGTCTATAGAAAAATAGCCCGAAAAAACTCCCAGGTGGAGATGGCCAAGCAAGCGGCTCGGGTGGCGGACCGAAGGGAGTTCCGGCCACGCGAAACTGCCAGCATGCGGCTCGGCCATGGCTCCGGGTTGCTAGACGGTTTAGAAGGTTCAGGGTTTAGGGTGTAGGGAGTTTAGGGTTTAGGGCTTAGGGTTTAGGGTTTAGGGTGTAGGGAGTTTAGGGCTTAGGGTTTAAGGGTTTAGGGTGTAGGGAGTTTAGGTTTTAGGGAGTTTAGGGCTCAGGGTTTAGGGTGTAGGGAGTTTAGGGTTTAGGGAGTTTAGGGCTCAGGGTTTAGGGTGTAGGGAGTTTAGGGTTTAGGGAGTTTAGGACTCAGGGTTTAGGGTGTAGGGAGTTTAGGGTTTAGGGAGTTTAGGGTTGCTAGACGGTTTAGGGTTCTATGTACCCAGAGAGCCCAATACCCCTTATTTAGGGAATATACCTTAAATCATATGATGAAGGCCCCTTTAATTTAAGGTATATTCCTGATTTAAGGGGTATTGGGCTCTCTGGGTCGGGTGGGCTCCGGTTGGGTCTGTGTTGGACGGGCGTCAGGGGTCACTAGGATAGCCTCACGAGAAAGAATAACGAGGACACCTGCGTAAGAGACCTCTATATCCCTTCCTATGATGTTACTCCCCAGAGAGCCCAATACCCCTTAAATAAGGAATATACCGTAAATTATAGGGGCCTTTATATCATGATTTAAGATATATATTCCTTAATTAAGGGGTATTGGGCTCTCTCTCGATTTCTGGGATAGATCTCGTTGTGATTCTTGTGAGTCAGTATACTCCAGCCCTACATGACTGAACACCATTTGGGGCACAGGATGTTCTGAAAAAAACGGTCGTTTGTAGGGTGGTCGCATTATCGAAATAACGAGCAAAAGCAAGAAAACCTATCAAAATGCTTTTCGAATTACAATAAAAGCTTACGAAGACTTATACGCAAAAACACTTTAAAAGTTGCAAAAGCACCCGCCCTTCAAGCACACACCCACTCCATATAAAAAAAATCCATTCACGAAGAAGAAGATTAACAATAATAACAACAATAATATTAATACCAATAATAAATGTCATTATAGTAGCAAATATTTTCTGGTAGTAGTATGTATTGTGATGGTAATGATAATGATTTTAGCCATATTCATATGTATTTTTATGGCAAATAACAGCACTAGTAACAATTAAGAAGAGTAACTTGGACACTGCCCCACCCAGGAACAGTTATGTAATATTTCATATTATGGACAAAAAAAGGTCCCTAATAGTAGCCCTATTATTGACTGTTGCTGTATGGGAGCAGTACCCAAAGAGTAACTACCCAGAGAGGCCAATACCCCTCAATTAAGCAATATACCTTAAAACATAGGGGCCTCAATATTATGCTTTAAGGTATATTCCTTAATTAAGAGGTATTGGGCTCTCTGGGTAAAGAAACAGATTATCAGGCTCATGGCCGCTGCCTCCTTGCGCACGGAGCTTCCCTGGCGCCTCGGGTGCTTTTTGTGCCGAGGTTTCCGGTTTGGACTATGGCAGGTTTAGGGTTTCGGGCGAAGTGGAAAGCCTGTTGCAAAAAAGAGCAGAGAGATATTACTTAGGGTTCAGGGTTTAGGGCAGAGAGATATTACGTATAAGGTTTAGGGTTTAGGGCAGAGAGAGAGATTCTAGGGTTTTGGCCTTTATGATGTGTTCTTTTTTTTTTTGAAGGGGGGGCTAGGGATGTAGGCTTTTTCGGGTTTTGGGTTGGGGGCTTCAGTGTTTTGGGGGGTTTGGGTGTTTGTGCTTTGGCATTGGTGGTTTATGGGTTCGGCTCCGGGTTGAACGTTTAGTCTTTCTGGGTTTGCGGGGCTTACGATTGAGGAGTAATAGAGGGCCCTTAAAAAATTAGAAGAGGGTTTGGGGGTAAACCATGCTATAATGACACGAAGGTACTAAGGAACCCCAACACCCTATTCTAAGCGTGAACGCCCCTACATTAATGGATAAGGTTTGAAATGTTCAGCTCCGGGGGCTTCACAGAAACAAAGACGCAATGCACTGACACCCAAAGGCGTCCCATGTTTAACCTGTTGCATACTTCGTTTGATGCAGTATTGTGTGAAATCACGCAGTGCTGCTTCCCAGCATTTCCCAGCTGATCAGCAGAGTCTGGGTTCAAAAAAACGTGTTGCATACCTCTGCCTATCTCTGTGGGCTTGTATGTTAACGTTGGTTGTGTACATGCTTTCCTCTTTGCTGGCCTCTATGCAGGTATCTTTATCTGTGACTGCGTCTGTCGGTATGGATGTATGCATGCATTCGTGCATGTGTGCATGGTTGCACATATGTACTGCCAGAAATTATCTAAGATGCCATGGTTTCCTTGGGTCGGTCATCTGCAAAGTTTCTCTGTCATTTCTGGTGTCTTCTGTTGTTGGCACCACTCCTGCACTTTCGTTGGCTGCAGTGCCTTAAGCTTTCTACTAATGCACCTTTCTCAACTGCTTGTGATCTTGCCAGCGTTCATCTTCCAGCATTCATTTTCTGCGTGTTCTCTACCTGATATCTATATCTATATGGCCTAGCAGTAATGTTCTGCGTCTATCTAAAAAAATATATACATAGATATATGATATACGGCAGCCTTCGTGTGTTGCCGTTCTTCCACCGACTTGCCGCTGCCCGCTTCGCAACCACGTCTGCTCCAGTGAGCCCCCCCCCTTGTTTGCAAGGCTGCTAGTGTGTCCTTCTTAGGGTTTCGGGTTTAGGGTTTCGGGTTTAGGGTTCATTCTCTTACCATCCGCGTTTGTCAATTTGTTTACAACCGCAAAACGAAACATCTGTTCAAGCTGTCCTCCCCCTCCTGAACAAACACCCTGAACTCCCAACTTCAACTCTTTCCGACGGGAAGCACAAGGATTGGTGAGATCCTCGGGGTACCACTGGCAAAGTGGGTGCCAGAGAAACTGGGCAACCTATTCAGGGCTTGCGGGGCTTGGGCTTTATAAGGAGTTTAGGGGGGGTGTTGAAGGTGAAACCGCCGCTGGGTTTTGCTAGCAGACTGGGGAATGAAAACCGGAGAGGTGTTGCCTTTTGCGTCACTTGGTGTGGGTGTGTGTGTGTGTGTCTGTGTGTCTGTGTGTCTGTGTGTCTGTGTGTCTGTGTGTCTGTGTGTCTGTGTGTGTGTGTGCGTGTGTGTGTTGGTTGGTGTGCATGTTTGCATTTGCCGAGAAGCCAGCGTGTAGTTCGTGGTTGGTGACACCTGCCCAAACTGCTGGTGTCCGTAGCAAACTTAGCATTTCCATTTGTGTTCCTGGATTGCTCAAATTCCAGAAGAATTTTTAGATTTAGATTCTGTTGCGCTGCTGCCAAATTCCGCTGATGATGAACATTTTCGAATCATTCGTCCACACCGATATTAATGTCCAGACAACCTCGCGGCCTGATTTGTGTATAGCCCCTGTCTCAAACTCCAACTGCGTAGCACAAGCCCAAAGTCATGCGGGATCATGCCACGGTACATCCCTGTGGCGCTCTGCCGGTGTGTGCAGTCAGCATGAGTCAGATGCCACTGGAACATCACTTGAGGTTGGCGGTTCTTCGGCTTAGGCTTCCTGAGTGTAGGCAAGAGGGCCTGTGGATGTAGATTAGTTTGCAGTTTCGGGTTCGGTGCTTGCTTTCAAGATTCATGACTTTAGTGCTTGAGCAAGCCCAAAGACTGCAATAGTCCCTATTCAGGAGGAGCGCTACTGCAATTCAACGGGTTTTAGAGTCTCTGGGTTAGTGGTAGTGTAGGACTGACTTTTCAGGTGTCAGGTGCTTGGATTTCCCGTTGTGGTTCTGGCATTCAGCGTCGCAGACCTGACTATGACGCTTGCCCATTGGGTTGAGGAGTGTCGAAGACCGTGGGATCTAGAAGCTCAACTTGAGTTAAATGTAAGCCAAAAAACACTTCGTTACCCCTGAAAACCGGGGACGGACCTGAGATGTAGGAGTTTGTTTCCGTCTAAACTCGAAAGGTTTTTAACCCCCCAAAAAAAGCTCGACAACCCTGAGCCCGGTAGCAGTGTACGGATCGAAACCCCTTCAAAGCCTCCTCACCTTAAACCTAACCTTCCCTTCCGCCTGATGACCAAGGCACGTGGCCACGATGACGCCCCAATCTTTCGCACACACCGTCTACGGCCTCGGAGTGCTGTCACCTTGGCTCGGTTTACTCTATGTACCTGAACAAGTAAGTAGAAAGCGATTCTTCTCCTTGGGTTCCTTACTGTAGTGAATAATAGTGAAAGAACATTATATGCCGCAGAAGCCTTGGTCTATAGGCTACAGGACGACTTCTGGCTCTTTTAGGGAGCTAGAGGTTCATGTAAGGGAGCTGAAGTAAAGCAGAACATGTTTGGCACCTTCGCTTGTTTTCGGCGGATCTCAATATCGAACAGCTAGTTTTGTGCTGCGGCGCAACCAACACCCGCAACACTTGGCTGGAATTGCTCGAAATGTTAGTCTCAGGGCTTCTTACAATGACATCCTCGGATTCTTTAGGATCTACGTCGCAGTAGTACAACCCCCGCAGCCCGATAGTCTTGAAAGCACTAAACTCACAACCCGCTTACCAGAGAGCCCAATACCCCTTAGTTAAGGGATATATATCTTAAATCATATACCATATACCATTAAGGCCCCTATAGTTTCAGGTATATATTCCTTAATTAAGGGGCCCCTTGGGCTCTATGGGTTCCCTGGCCGAGGAATCTGGGAGACGAGAAGGAGGTCGTGGAAGCTATTCGGGCCTGCGCGCAGGCGATTCCTCTTCAGCTGGGTCGGCCACCTTGCTTGAAGGGATCGATAGGGCACGTTGATTTGTGCATGTAGAACTCTTGGGAATTTTTGGATGTATGGGTTAGGTTTTGAAGGATTAGGATTTTTCATACCTTATCCGCAGGAGTTTTGTCATGATGCCTTCATCATCCCTACTAAAGCTGCTATGCATTCATAGCACAAAAGCTCGCAAAGAAGCTCATGAGTTCTCAGGCCTGTGTGTTCGAGCGTTTCGTGCGTCACGAAGT